GCAAAAAGTAGACCCGTAAAACAAGACTTTGAATCAAAATCCCCTCTTTAATCTTTACCCAATACTTACTTACAAATTTATCATGTATTTAAATGAAAGTTGCTTTACTGAACATTTTCCAAATTTATTCTCTTACCGAAAAAACCTCTTTCTGCTCTCCAAAAAGGTTGATTAAACTGTTCTCACCTTACTTTAGGGAAACCTGATGAATTAAGCACCGACAGAATCAGTTTACCACTGAAATCTCAAACGCCATACTTACTCCCGTTACGAAAACCAAGTTTTAATTCTTCGCTGTACCATTTTTTAAATATATCAAAGTGAAGCAGCTTTTCTGACATTCCTTAAATCATAACGAGCTCATATTTTGATTGTGCCAAAAGAAATAATTTCACCGTAAATTCGCTCAATATCGAAATTTCAATAATATTCTTCTCCTTTCACAAAACTTCAACCACCCTAGCAATCAAAGCCTTCTCTATGATCCAAAAACTAAAAATTTTATCTTGAAACAAAACAATTTCTGATGCTCTCCCTTCACATTTGGTGCCACATTATAGTAATTAACTCGTTCTTTATATGCCTTTTACCTTGCTCTCATGAACTTGCATAGTCTAAAGGTGTTAATATATACCTCCCTGTTATTCTCTTAGACAATAACTATTTACCATCATTATCGCGGCTTGAAACTTCTTCCCTTATTGATCGCAGTATTAGTTCCTCGAAGACAAGAAGTTGTTTCAAAATGACGTCATTTTCTAGTAAACTCAAAAGGCCCAAAGTCATGCGTCAAAACTCTTCGTTAAGTTAAAGCACAATTAGATCTTAATCTCACCTCCCCATCGTCAAAACAGTAGAGGGAACCATTGTTAGTTAAATTAGCATTGGAAATCTTAGTAAATATCTGCAAATTTCATCAAAAGAACCGAAGATCAATTTATGTCAACGCGCTGGAATTCAGCTGTTCATCTTTCGTCTGAATTAACATCTTCCTTTTAAAGTTTGCTTCACCAGCACAAAAATTGATTGTCAAACGACTGACCTGTCCTACACTTTTCAACTTCTTGAACTTCTTTTGTTCTTTTTCCATAGCAATTAGTATTCTAGCCTCAAGATGGTGTTTACGATGACCTTCATGTTCTTGCCGGAGATGTTCAACCATATCGCAATAACTAAACAAACAAAACAGTTGTGACAATATTCCATAAAGCCGATGTGGAAAAATTAAAGGATTTTAAAACTCTCAAACCTTTTAAGTTTACTAATCCCAAAATTTCACAGCAATTACACTAAAAAGAATTATAACGGAAAAAATTAAAAAGCGCTTACCTGCTGAACTCAGAACCACAAACAAAACAATGAATACAACCAGATAAAGCATTTCTACAATTATGTTTTACAGAAATATGATAGGCCAGCACAAATATCGATGCAAATGGTTGTGTTCCCTCGCACTTTTGATTTAGGCACTTTAAAGAGCCAAAGTCAGCAAGATTAGGCCTAAGTCTTTCCAATATATCCATAACAGCAACCTAAACAGAAAACAAGAGTATTTCAATTGTATTTTTAAATAGTTTCGACGCCTACCTCTTTATCGGTGACTTCTCTTGCACAATTCTCTTTCTGGTTGTTTTCACGTCGTCTCAGATTCATGTCCAAATACTGCACACAGTGGTCTTGAGGTATCACTAAGGCCGTGCAACCAGGTTTCTCCTGCCTTTGTGTAACAATCTGTTTCGGCATAGTTTTCAGAACCTTAAATGCGAACAAAATTAAGCTAACTGAAAAGAATTATATTTTTTCTTAAATTAATAATATTAAAAAATTTAAAGAATGAAAGCAACTGACCTGAACTCCATTATTGAACGTCGTCATTGGGACCGCTTTCCCAATCCTTGGTAAGGTCAGTAAATCATACTTCAACTGAAAAGTGTTTGTCAAATCTATGAATTGAAAGGAAGAAGCACCTCTTATTTCATAAACAGAGCTGAAAAAATGATAATAGAAAAACAAAAGAAAATTACTGCCTTGCACCTGAGAATCTTCAATTTCAGAGTGTCCAATTCTTTTGTTCAAGACCCCAACTATATTTAGACGTTTCAGCAAGCCCTTTGTCTTTTTCGCCGTCTTATGGCTGTTGACCTCATCTCCTAAAATAGAAATTGCAAAGCAATTAACTAAATCATACTCCTGACAGAAGAACTTTACAGCGAAATTACAAAAAGTGGAATAAAAAATTGGTTCGATTATTCCTTTCAGCAAAAACCAAACGATCAACTTTTCAACAGTTATTCATGTTTCAACAAATTTTTAACTAATAGCTTACTGTCCTCAAGACTAACCAGTAAAAAGTTTAGCCTTTTCGGCAGCGGTTTTTTCGTCTTTTTTTGAGTTTCTGCTTAAACTTGCAATATTCTGAATTGTATGAAGTGTACGACAGAAACCGCGTTTATGAGATATAAAGTTAATCAGACTACGAAAAACATTTCGGCAATACCTAAAATCAAATTACTGTTACTAAATGAATAAAATTTACTGAGCAATATGGCGAACTGCCAAAAGTCGCTCGTAAAAACGAAAAGAAAAAATTAATATAAAAGTTTGAAAGTCGTCTATTTGAAAAGTCTCGGAAAAAATGTTAAAATGAAGCTTCAAAACTACCATTAAAAACAAAAGCTTTTAAAGTTTATCTAAAAACTCTGACATAAAAAACACAACCCACCAATATACTTGAAAAATAAAAAAGAAATTCAAAAGAGAAGACTGATGGTACCTGCACTGAAGCAAAATTTCACACTCATTATTCAAGATGTTCCGAACTTCAATCGTAGCATCATTCCAAACTTCAATAATACCTTCAAACCCTTCTTTAGCGATATGAAATGGCGCCTGAAGAAGAGCCGTATCTTCTACACGATTCATTCTGTAAGTGCTGAAAGTGAGTCCTCAGAAATCTCCCAGTTTGTTATTAATTTGGTACACTTCTAACGCCAGCCTAAACAAACAGTTATTACCAGATCTAAAAGAAATAATTAATAGTATCATCAGAGGAACCAGCGAACAAAATAATAATTTTATTATAGTGTCAGAAAAAACAAATGTGAAGTATACAAGAGAAAAAGTCTCAACTCATTAAAAACATAACCGATTAATTAGAATAACAGATATTTAAACCACATTACAAGTCAAAAAAAGCACATTTTTCATTTGACATAGAAAACTTAGAATATTTAAATCATGAAAACGACTTCAAGAAATAAGCAGTATTGTTTAAAACACTAACGGTACAAAACTGAATTAAAGTCAATCAAAATTCAAAGCTTTTGTTCATTCAAATGTTTACCAGAATTTAAGTGATAGCCGAATACTGTATAGTTTACTTTGAAAAATGACTGTTTCTCTTTTTTTTAAACTTCAACTGAAACTAAGATTGAGCACTGAACAACGTTAATTTAATTGGAAGCATTATATTAAGGTTTCCATTTCACAGTTTTCAACAATTTGACGTGGCAAAAATACATGAAACTGCCGTAAATGCATCTAAAAAAAAAAAAACAACAACAACAACAGTTCCTTCCGTCTAACTTGACAAACTCCGCTTTTTTCCTGTCACTATTCATTTGCTTTCTTCTTCTTCTTCTTCCCTTCACATAAATTCAACATTAACGAGGTTATTTCATGCTTCCCTGACAAATATCCATAAAAAAACTTTTTTTATACTTTAATTTCATGAAAGTATGAAAAACCTTTAATGATAATGTTTGGAGTAATTACTCATGTATTTATATGCAGCAAATTTACAGAACAAAAATACAGATTTTTGTGCACCCTTGCAGAAGAAAACTCAAAAATTACACTAAAATAATTCCCTACCTGTAATTCATGTAAACAATTGCTACTTGACAAAATCTTTTAACAGGTTGAAGCGGATGTACAAAACCTCAAGAAACAATTGGAGTACATCTCTGCTAACCGAAAGAATAAGAACTTTTCCAATTAAGACACCAAATTGATCCTCTTAAAAAAATAGAACTTTGATAGACAACTTCTGATGGCATACTATTTTTCAGCTGTGATAAAATTTTGATTAACCTTGACATTATTCAAATAACCCTATAACAATGAAAGAATCTGTCCTTATAAATTGTACCGCTGCCGAAGAACAGAAAAATTTTCTTTTTTTTTCATCTGTCAATAGAAAAAAAAAGTTCTTTGATTCCAAATATCTGAACTATCCCAACAAAGAACCTCGTCATTATGTTACTTCATGTCAACAAACTCAGCACTGACAATCAGAAACTTGCCCAGCAAAACAGTTACCTCAAATGAACTGTTTCCACACAAATAAATGCCAATATTCGATCAATAAAAGCAAAAATAGTTTTGAATTCTTTGTGACTATTTACAATCCTTTACTACCATTTATAAGCAGCAACGAAAAATATTTACTCCAAACAAACTATTTAGTTCTTAATCAATCCAATAATCAGCTAAAACTTTCAACGGCGGTTACAAATCTAGATGCTACGTAAGCAGTTGCTGCTATTTGATTTAATAAAAAGATGAAAATAATCAAAGAACAAAATCATACGGAATAAAAATGCAGCTGGTAGTTAAATGGTATTAATGTTCCAAAAAGGAAGCAAAAAATTATCACTCTTACAGATACAGTTAAGAAAGAAATAAACAAAGACTTAGGAATGCGTCAAATACCTTGCTGAATGTTAAGGTAATTAAGATGACCAAGACAGAATGCAAGCCCCAGAAAACAGCTGAAGAAAATAAAAGCTATAGACATAATGCGACAAGTTAATTAGATGAATGAAACAACGAAGGGCAAATAGGACAAGCAAAATATCATCTAAGAAAAATCTTCAAGAAATTTTTTTATGAGCACGAATGTCACTATTCAAATGAATAAACAGCTGGCAGAAATACAAAAGGAAAATGGGTGTGAAAAGAGAGACTTCCGGCTACTAACCAAAGGTATTACTACAGGAGCGGTGTAATTGTCGATTAAATGGCAACCGCTCAGCCGCAATCAACTTGCCGCGCGGTATTCGCGCAAAAAACAAGGCGATCGTCGGCGGCAGGGTATCAATGTCCGAACAGTGGGGAACACAAATGCTCGCAAGTAAACATCACCTATACTTGCAAAAGCAACAATAACAAACTATTTTGAATAGAAATTTGACCACCTGATAAATCAAAAACTAACTTAAAAAATCACAAAAGAAATACCCTAAATAGAACTCAAAAAAAAAAAAAAAAAAAAA